CCGTTCTGCTGAGGTTCTGTAATCGCGGCTCTCGTTTAGAGACAAATCTGTGTTAGCGTGGATCGCAATGAAGTTGAGGAAATTTATCCACTGAATTTAGCTTCTAAGAGCACATCATTACTAAATCATGGAATATCACTGAAGAGACTTCTATGAAAATTTTTTTCTAATAAAAGCAACACCCCTGTGTCCAGAATTTTTCTAGTTCTAATATTTCAATAAAAAACCACATACATCTAGAAAGGAACATATTTCGAGCTGCTAATGGAATTTTTTTTCTTTTCTGATGTTTCTGTGGTGATTTGTTGACTTAAGAAATGCTTATTGCGTGATTACGTTAGTAGACTGGTTTGTAAAAGGCTTTTGTGTACGTTCACGTAATGAAGCGGGATAACGTTTTGCTTTTGAAGTAATTAGCCAGTTGTTTCAACTCTAAAGCGGATTAATTTTTTTAAAATGAAAATTACGATTCTAGGATAACTTTATTAGATTGTTTATCGAAGGGCGCTCCATAAACGTATCTCCATCAAGAAAATGCCCATTTTTACTCAAAATCCCCACTATGCAGTACGAAAGATTGATGTTTGGAAAAACAGTGCATTTCGAACTTTTTCCCACATCCTTTTGACGACTGTATAAAGATGTAATTCGAAAACAATTTCCATATTGTCGGGCTCTTAGAATAAACATGTGTGGAGGGGGCTCGGGTATGTACAACAAAATTCGTATTCATCAGTTTTCCAAAAGTGCATTTCCCTGACACTGCCATTATTTGTTAGGCTCAAAATGTTTATTTAGCAGATAATAATTTTTATCACATATTGAATGACCACACTAAATTCCTACTAAGGAATAAAGTATAGGATGCTGCTTCATCGGTTTTAGCCACAAACGAGTCCCCTTCTCTTAACTTTCAGCAACTTCGATTAATCATGCCTGTGGATTTCTGACGAGGCACTTGTCGCAACAAATGCAACTTCTCTTCTTGATTTTGATCAAAATACCTATACCTACCTCTTTCTGCATGACTTTCAACTGATTCTTGTACAGTTTCCCCTGCATGAGCAGCTCCCTCAGCAAACTGAACCAAATCGGTCGGCCTGTCATGATGAGTGAAATACGTGTTTTTCCAACGGTTTTAGCTAGGAAAATCCTATTGACGAGTTCTAGCAGTAAGCGTTTCTTGTATAGCTTGTTCTCAACGCTCCTCATATTGTTGACTAGACGCAAGTGAATTGGTCACACGGTGCCTTTCGGATCATCCGTTTCATGAGAAGACATCCCTGCATAGAGGATCCAACGCTAGAATATCTGCTACACGCACCGTCTGAGATAAAATCATCGAACGGGCAGTATTGTACACTCGATTGCTCCTGTCTGGTAAAACATGAATCCCATACTTTTCCTTTTCCGAGTGCAAGAATGTAAAACAATATAATCTGATAACATATTTTGAGCCTTTTATGAGGAAAGATGTTTCTTTATTCCACATCAGATCCTCAAATATCCTCCATGAAGTGCTCATAGTAGTTGGCGAGACTTTCACACCCGGGCAATGCATGGCCTCGAACACCGCTCCGGCGCTAGTTGAAAGGTGAAAATTTGGGAATGATCACAGTACTCACATGTCTTAGAAATTACGCGGGTAAGCGAAAATGATATCCATTGGGAGGTGATGGCTCATCAGGTCTCTGATGTTTTCATAAACAGCTGGCGATAATTGGCTGCAGATGGTGTCATTGAAGCTATCTGGGCAGATGCAACTGGACGGAGTGCAGGAAGTCGTTTTGTGGGCATTCAACTAAAAAGAACTATGTAGAGCACATAGAATCAGTGAGTGTGTTCAGTGGCTGAGGGCACCTCTACAAATTATGTTCAAAATAGAGAATAAATGGATAATAAAGTTGATATCAACGGAATGATAAAACAAAGTTTGTATCATAATTCGGTAGGTTTTACAACTGTTGAAGTACACCAATAATTGTAAAATTATTGAGAGTTATCGTTGAAGTGGAGTTACATGGAATAAACATCCTTAATTCTGACAAAAAGTTCTTTGTTTTGTAAATGTCTCGGCATTCTTCCCACTATCGAAAGTTTTATAGGAGTCTCTTTTTTCATATTCTATATTTAAGAGATGATATAACCTTCCTCACTGACTATGGAAGTCTGAATTTCATTGCGAAAGTATAACTTGTGATAATTATGCGCTTTGCTTGCCGCGCGAATTTCAGCACGACGCCACTTGCTACCAAAGGCCGTACCTTAAGGGTAGACCCTTTGAGAATCCATGGTACATTTTGTATCGTCGCCATGCGGCGTTCCGTCTCACTCACCACCTGCTGTGATGGTAGCAACTGGTCTCGGGTCGCAATTATGTCGGCGGGTGCTATAATGTAAATTAGAGAATTTGATTGTTAAATTTAGGTTTCAACAGAGAATATCATCACTGAATGTTGATATCATTGAAGAGACTTCTTCAAGGTTTTTTTCGGTAAAATCAACGCCTATGTATTCTAAAAGTCACTATATTCGGACCAAAAAACTAAATCGTTGCAGAATGGAACATATTTTCAACTCTCATACATTTTATTGATTCATGTTTTTGTAGTCATTCTATATTTGATAGTTTACGAAATGCTGGTTTCATTACTAAGCTTGGCTTGTGAAAAACTTCAATAATACGTCCTATCATCGAAAAGAAGTCAATGTTTTATTTTTGAAGTACTTATCCTGTTGTTTTGACTTTACAGTGGTTTCTTGGTAGTTGTATATTATATTTCTGACCCATATTCTTCATTCGTTTTACTGATGTTGTAAATCTGCTCAATATATTTTCAACAAATAGCAACTAATACAATTAACATCGATTAGCAACAATTTACCCCAAAAATCAATATCGACGAACAATTAGCAATTGGGATTAATAAGTGATCAACACAGGCAAAAACTTAAAGCAGTCAAAAGCCAAATAGTACGTCCTAGATAGATCACCCTGTGCAATTCATAGGTACAATCCTCAAGTCGAGTATCAAGATCGTTTTGAATCATGTACTGGATGAGCAGTATGGAAACGAGAATACCACTACGATTAGAAAGAAAGATCTGGGGCACTGTAATAAACATGAGATAACTCCCATGCATATCATGGGAAAACTGAAAATGTTTATATGGAGTTTTACCGAATACGCGTTTAATGTATCAAGACAATGGCAGACCGCACACTGCCAAAAAGACCAAAGACAAGTTCGATGAATCGAACGGAATCGGTGTTCTGCCGCATCCCTCCTACAGTCTAGACTGCTTCAATGCCACACTTTGAACAGTCGCCAATATGAATCGTTCGACGAAGTTGAAGAAGCTTGTCAAGAGTTTTTTATTCGAAGTTAAAGGAATGGTACTTAGACCAGATCCGCAACTTAATGGACCGATGGTAGAAAGCCGTAGAAAACGACTGCCTTTATTTTGAAGAATAGCTCTCATTGTTTTCTTTTTTTGAATCCATGCATAAATTTTTGATTCTTTTACAAGTGCCCCAGAACTTTCTTTGTAACTTTAACAATATTTACTTCACACTTAGCCTTGTATATGTTCTTTGAGCATGGTTCGTTAAGACAACGTTTATGTTTTCGTGGTTTGAGAGTTTCGGAACGCGACTGAATGTTAACCGAGGAGAGGCTTCTGGTATGTAGCTGAGGTGTACCTTGCACTTGAACCCGTCATATCCGTTTATCACATAATTCCTTTACAATCGCGTACTCAGTGTCACTGAAGGTATACTTCTCGAATAGGTGCACACAGCACAAAATTTATGTAAAGGAATAATTACACTTTAATCGAATATGGTACTTGACACCTGGCTGAAAACTGAGAAATCTTTCTGGAGTTGTAGTGACTGATAAATATCGAAAACGATGTAATCTGCTACTCGGAATAAGTATTCAACATATTCATTACAATTCCCATGGTTAGCACTTGTACCATAGTTTGCTTAGAGTTAGCGTTTGTGGTGTACAATTTCCAATTTCTCCGAATATCATTAACAATGAACGCAATAACATGCACAATACTCTTATGTTCCCTAGGATATCATTGGTTAACATAGCTTGGGCAAATGTGGAGTTACCATAGATTGTTCTTAAGCTTAATACAGCAACATGCCGCGTGTGACGCATTGGTTAAAAGTACTGTGCGCCTACATGACGATCAATCCATCGTCGATGGTTTGATTCCGCGCTCAAGGGTCACTAGGCTTTTCAATCCTTGGGGGTCGCTAAATCGCTACCAGACTTGTTAGGGAGAACAGCAGCATTGAGTTAATACATCGATGGGCTACTGCGAGTCATTGTGAAGATCAGATATGCATTCAGTCACCTCAAATGAAGCTTTAAATTGAGGACGAATGCATGACGCATCTCCCAGGGATTGATCAATGCCAAAAGCTTTTGTTACTAATAAACAATTGTGCAGGTTTGGCCTCCGGTTGTCTGGATCAGTGTTTCTCTTCACATGTAATAACTTCAAATAACTCAAAATGAGCTATGCACTGATGTAAACCATGTATTAGAGAAATCACTCACATAGGTGGTGGAGATTATTATTCTTCGGATGCAGTTGAACGGATTATTAGATCTCTGGTTTATATGTTGGCGGTCAGACCCACCTGTACGTTTTCACACTTAAGTTATTTGGACAAGTGGCAATTGGATCGGGTGCAGGAAATAGTCTTAAGGGCACTCAACTAAAACAAATACGTAATTTTAGTGTATGTGTCTATTGTCAAAAGAAAAGATGTGTTCATAATAGAGAATGAACGGGTGACAAAAATTTTTTACTGATAAAACCTACACCGTATACACCTCGTGTTTGGCTTAAAGAAGAATTTAAGAAATTGTATTGAAGCATGCCGAGGCTAATAGACACTCGGTCTTGGGAACTGATATAAGGATCAAACAGTCTATCCTATATACCCACTGTTTTTGAGTACTATGCAAAACTTCCGCTTCAGGCAGGACTCGAACCTGCACCTCGCTCTATCCGGGAGCGCGTGCTCTATCCGTTACACTACTAATACCCATTTTGCACAGCACTCGTTCTACGCTACAGCGCATCTATCTGTCGGCCGCCAGCCGTCAAAAAATAATAAGTCATTATTTTGTAATTGTTCTGGCATTGTATTTTCTGCCAATATATTTACTGAAGTCTTTTTATTCATATTCTGTCTTTTACTAGTGACTAAACCTCCTTTACTCCTTTAATGACTATCAAATTCTGAATTTTATTGAAAAAGTACCATACTGCGTCGTCACGTGCAATCAGCGGCCGCCCTACCCCTTTCGGTACGACGTTGATTTCTAGCGCGGCAGGCGGCGACCGCGCGGCGAGCGGGGCGCACTTCCCATGACAATGTGGGGATTTTCTTATAGAATATGAGGTTTTATGGCCGTTAGAGGGGACTTTATAATAGAAAACACAATATGACTGGGAGACTCTGAAAAGGCTAAAGGCTATATTTTGTTGAAGCAGCGTCTACGTTTCGTCTAGAACCCCGCATTTTCAAGTGAAAAACCGATACCTATGAAAAGATCATAAACCGAGCTGTTATTGAAAATTTTTGAGTTATCATATCTTGATTTATCATGAAACAATCATATTTAGTTTTTATATCGTATGTCAACAGCAGTTAACTTTCACGCTCTACTGCAAATTAATGAGTAGTCTAACGATTGATTATATCATAGATTATAGTTCCTTCTGAAATCAAGTATTAGACGCGAATCTTACATTTTTTCATATCCTCTTATTCCATACAATATCGAGAAGTTCTTACAATGCTGAAATATCAGAAGAAAATGAATCGTTTGTTGAAAACGATGATGCTCATTGCTTGTGATGCTACTTCAATGACTTCTTTCAACAATATTTGGATTATTAGTGTACTTCACAAATTGAGACCCTTATAGAATCATAGGACAGGTTTATTTTCTATTGTATCATGTGCAAGCGTATTTTGATTATGCACTCATTCTATGCCCATGAATATTATTCATCGCAGCGACTTTTGTTACTGGCTATGGTCACCAGTTCTGGTTGTATCACGTACCACATGGTCTTATGTCAGAGGGATATGAATCACAAAAGAAGGCAAGAAAAGAAATTCGAAAGGAAAGTTGTAAATGCGTTTTTATTGTATTGATGTTGCTTCGTGTTGAAAAAGAGTAAGATTCAGATTATGAGGAAGTTTTTTGCACTAAAAGTAAATCTGTAGAAGTCCCTACAATAAAAACCTATCAAGATGTTGCGGTAAAGTATGCGCATGATCAAAATTCTAATATAACCAGAAAATATGCTGGAGAGTTGAAACAACACACTGTGAAAGTGTGACGTTATCTTTTTTCGTTAGCAAAACTACCATAAGAGTTTATCATTAACCATGCTCAGTATTGAGATCAGTATTAGTTAAGCTATCTAATGAATTCAAAACATATAGAGATAAGATGAAAATGTTTAGCAACGGTTGGAACTATCTTCCCTTTTGCATGACTCTGGTTTTCTCGTTAAGACCTGCGAGGTTTTTGAGCACATAGGCTTACTTTATGTTTGAAAACCTCTTATGGAAATCTCTTCTGTGATATTCTATATTTTAACTACTATCACATACGCCTAGAACCTCAATTTACCAAATAATTTGCGTATCTCTTTAGCAGTGAGCTCTAATGTAAGCTGTCTACCGGTCCGCCACGCGGTGCGGCAGCTAGTATCCTTTGTATAAGACACTTCATTCCAAACGAGTTAAGGGTCAAAACATACGATGCGATTGCCAGTTGCTTGTCAAGTCATTCATGTCATTTATGTTTTCTGAAAATATTTCTTTTTCTAAAGGAATAAGCTAGAAGGTTTGGCAAGAAAAGTAATGGCAGGCTTCGATCAACAAGCTTAAATTTGACTAACTTCAAAAGCAACCTTATTGTTTGAAATATAGTAGACAAACGCAAACAGTCTTACCAGCTTTATGAAATTTTTTTCTGCTAGCTAATTCTGTTTCACATTCTCTTCAACAATTTGGCTTATGAAGATTTTGTCAGTTTCTCTTCGTCAGAGTGCTTGGGAAAAGTTATAATTGGTTTCTAGAGGTTCTGGTGAGTTGTTGGCTGAGAAAAAGGGGTTATTGTGATGGCAGTGTTACGTGATGATGAACTTGAGGTTTTTCTAAATTTTCTGTCGTAATTTCGTCGATTTCATGCCCACACTTCTCTGAAGGTCATTTCATCTAGGGCATTGTATCAAAAGACTCCATTTAATGATAACGAAAAGTTATGACAATCAAAAGCATCCCAATCTCGCGGCCATAGCGCCCTCTACGTTTTGATGTGATTTTGGCTCTGACAGAATGTTTGGATTGGTCCAATCTTGAATCTGAATTTCGTTTGTTGTCGTGTAAGATCTTCCATTATTCTTGCACGTCATAACGCCAAGGATAAATGGGGGTTTTTTATGCAATAGAAACGTAGAGGGCGCTATGGCCGAGTGATTCAGATGCTCGTCGCAGCGCGCGCTGGCCCAGCCACACCCCCATCACTCTCCGCAATCAACAACAAACGCCTCATGGAACGACACAGTCAGGCCATCCTATAGATTGCAAGGAGACGTGAAACGCTTAAGAAGAAGACGAAAAAGCGGATTGAATGCTAGAAGCACTGGGATCCGCGGTGGTTTCTTTGTAGTAAAACTTCAGCTTATACTCTTGGAAACATTTTGAGCTTTGGTTCAATTGTAATTGCTCCTTGCGAATCGTGGAGAAATATTTTCTTGTTTTAATCATATTCCAAAGCTGGGGAAATCGCTAATAAGATCTTTTTTTGTTGAGGTTTTGATAAAATGTTGAAACGATTTCTTGTAACTACTTCTATTAGTGAGCTCCATACTGCTATGTAGTGATGCAATGCGCATTTCTGTAAACTGCTAAGTGGAACGTTGAGTGATGGAATTAATGTGTTATCGAGAAATTCTTTACTGCGAGATTCATTAGGTGGTGGTCTCAACAAAAAACTTATATTTACAATCGATCCTCTAGCGAACAAACAACTAACAAATTATTTAAGCACGTTGTTCATAGTTGACATGCATATTACTGATGCAGAGTGTCTTCATAAGTGGTTCACTAAGATAGTTTTGATATTTTGAAGCTGTTCTCATTTGACCGCCGCACTTTGAATTAAGTGCTCTTTCGTCTTCCTCAGATCGAGTGTTCTCTTCACTAGCAATGTCTGTGTTGTATGCTATATATAATAAGCATGGAAGTCGTTGGATAGCATAATGAGACGAGCAAACTTGTTCTACTTTGTTTTTTCAAATTTTGATGCTGGGTGCATAGTGATTGATGGTGCATACAATAGACTCAACGGCATTGCTTTGACCAGGAAATTTGTTTTCAAAGTTGTTCTTAAAGAAAGAACAAAGTAATGGGCAATGTTAATGAAGTATTCTACACATCTATAAACATATGGGGCGTACATGCGATATTCAGGAGTTTTGTGTTGAACATACGTAGCCGTTGCTTGCTTATCTGGCCTTGAGCCGTCCAAATATAATTTCTCCATAGTTAGAGAATTGGAAGAAGGTCAATCTCTGAACAGCGCTTTACGATTCCAAAGTTCGGCGACTGTTTGTAATGAGGACTTGGGGACGTTCTAGCATGACCGTCTAAAGAGTCTAGAGGCAATTAACTTGAAAATTATGCAACGGTATTTACAAAAAATTTCTAGCAACAACTGAAGTCACATGTAAATCCTCAGGTCCTTTTGTAGATGATCGATATGGGGCAGCTAAATGAATTGAGATGAGCTTAAGAATACATAAGGCAGGATGTTAAAGAAGACTTGAAAAGCTTTGCAATGTGTTGAAAATAGCGCTCTTTCAACTAACGCTTCTTATAGCATACATTGTCGGAGTACGTCAGATACAGCGTAAGACATAAACACAATGGTTGCGATTTTGAATTCACAATTGCTATCCTCATATGAATATCAGCATCCTCTATAGTCTATAAGAATGTTCAAAGCCTTTTTGAGGTTAATAATACTGAATATCTATAGTGAAGTTTAGAAGCAGTCTGTTTGAAGAATCATCATCATTGAATGAAACAAATGTGACTGAAGGTTGATAATCAAAACTCTCCAAAGTTTCTTTTTCTCAATTCAGATTTCTTTTATTGAAGGTTGATAGTACTGATGGTAGCCTAAAAGAAATTAGCAGTGTAGTCAATTTTGCAGTGCTCATAATCAATTTCTTTTCACTTTTTTGCATTACTAATATATATCGCTTTATGTGAAGTGCTTTTTTATTTTATAGGCTGGTGATTTTTTTATTTTTGTTACCCATAATAACCCAGTTGCACGACGACTATTCATAACCTTAGCTTTTTCTAAGCGACACTGAAAAAATGAACAGAACAAAACTTTTTTTTAAGTCGTTAGAATAGCTAACAGCTAAGTAAGTAGTATACAACAAATGATGCCACAGTAGATGTAGCAATTTGTAGATAGGTGTACACGTCCTTATAATTGTCTAAATATTTCACTTATGTTCTGGTTTCCTCTTAGTTCTACATTCAATGGAGAAGGCGTTATTTCATATTCAATCCTTTTGGGACGGAATACACCCATATGGCCATACAATTTTCCGGAGACCTTTCTCACTGGAAAAAAACTTTCACGCAAACTTTTGACGACTGCTCGAAAGCTCAACTTTTGGCAATTTCAATAAAATATTTGGTTTAATGAAATTTTGTTATCTCGTTGTATTAGCGAAATTACTATCATGTTCTACACTCTATTTGCTTTGTTTGCTCGGCTGTCTGTGCGTATCTTTCTGCCGGATTATTGATAAATTTTATAGTTCAAATCTCGACATTTTGGTACTGTAATTGATTTATTCAAAGGATTTAGATACAGCGCTGTTAGATTAAGAATAATATCACGTTTCGCATTTAAAGTGGATAGCTCGTCGCTTGGAGGTTATAACGCATTTATTTGGCAGTGTAAAACAGGAAGTTTCTACCTATAGAACGATAGG